AATTTAGTTTAGAGGATGGAACAGTCGAGATGGGCCAATAGGTCCGATGTTGTCCCAAAACATTATATTATATTAATATAGTTACACAATTTTAAGTGTTTATATTCATAATTTTTAAATATTAAATTTGTGTATTATTATTATTATTATCAGTTTCTTACAACTATTCATATATATGTGTTTTGAGAATATTATGAGTAACATGGGTTTAACAGTCTTATACTCATTTAGTAAAACTAGGCAAAGCCTAGTAGGTGTTTGTACTATTACCTTGACGATCTTTTAGACCTTTCTTTAAAATCCAGACTGAGCACGGTTTAAATTAAGACAGTTTAGGCTTAGATTCTGGTAAATGCTGCTGAAGTCTAAAATGTAAAAGCTAAATTATTGTGAACATAGATTATTATTATTATAATCAGAGAGTTCAATTTTGGGAATGTGTTTTGAAAAATCATAAGCAAAGAATTTAAGTTGTTACTTGCAGGTATTAACCTCAGAATAATGTTATCAGTATAACGGAATAAAGGATTGTACATTAAGAGTGTATAATTTGAACTGGGCATATTTAGACATTTCAGACATATTCTATTATGTGCTGTCTAGGCCTAACATTTGGATCTAAATGCATAGCATTTATTCGTCATTACAGTTAACAGGTATTTTTTTTCAGAAATGTTACTTGCAAGTATGAAAGTAAATTAGTATAGGAAATAAAAAAAAATGTACATTAGAATACAAAATTATTTTATTATGTATTTCATTCTTATATATTTATCATTATTAAAATCTGGAGTATGTATACAAGTCATGATATTTTTATTTATTTATGTTAATGTACCTTTTATACCAAGATTTCTTGATTTCATACTTGTAGGCAACATTAAGCTTAGCAGTGAAGATTCATACTTTCACATTTTGTATTTTTAAGGTTTTTTGAATGATAGTTACTTTAACAAATAGCCTTACTATATAACTAATAATTGTATTAACTGTTTAATGTATAATGGAGATCTTATGATTTATTTTGATAATATTATATAACCTAAACCATTATTTGACCAAAGTGTGTTTATGTGTATCCCCTTATAACTGGCAAACTGCTCTGCTTGACTGATTATCACTAAACCTGACATATACACTTAGGGTCTCTCCTGGGGTGACATAGGGGGTGTTTAAATATGACTCCTATAACACCCCTTGAGAAGATCATTGGATGGAGTAGATCCTATGCCAAGTAGTAGTAGAAGAAATTATAGTATTAAAATTATTTTATTGGCATTGGATACAATTGTTAAAAAAATAGCTACACAAAAACAATTAATATTAAACTAAATGTAAAAATATAATGTGGCTGCCGTTAGCCGATTGAATCTCTGTAGTCTGTGGTTTGGGATTAGGAATAGCACTGCACTAACTGGAATTTGAACTGACAAACTTGCTGTCTCCCATTATTGAAGGGAAGAGAACCTGTGCTGAAGTCATCTACCATGTAAATCATTTCTAAAAAACAGAGAAACCAGAGTCTCTAACTATTTGGTGCCCATGCATAACCAATGTGTCAAAAACTCATAAAGAGAAACTTAACATATTTTTCAGCAAATGTAAAAATAGACATTTCTATGGCTAAGCATGTTACCATATGTAGCAATTTGTAGGGGCAAGATTAGCATTGTTCAAGGTTGGGGAAGAGTACTTGTTTGTATAGAACTAGAAACTAAGGACAGAAACCTATATTAAAGTTTATAAAATTTGTATGCATAAAAGGTGTTTATATATGTGCACATTATCTTCTAGGATGACTTAGAGTGTGTGACCTGCATATTATATTTTATTGAATTTTTCTGAATCATTGTTATAGTATATCTGGTTCTGAAATACATCATATTTCTGTCATTGTACTGTAATAATAATAATAAAAGAAGTGATATTAAGTTTTATAAAAGTTATCTAAATGTGTTGTGTCTATTAACATGTAGGTTATTCTATATAATAATTTACAAACATAAACTGTACAATGTGAAAAGTATTCATTCCTTTTAATTTTTCTTATATTTGTAAATAAAGAACTGTACATTGTATACATATTTATTATTTACTAAAAAAAAAAATAATTTTTTGTTTCTCGTATAGAATCTAAAACCAACAAAGATGTGGAGAAAGATGGTGATGCAAAGGTGTTTACTCGAGATCACTTGATTTTATTGATAGTGTTTATCCTTGTTCCTTTGCTGTGTTGGTGTGGATTGTAAGTTTTACTTTAGTCTGAAACAAATTAGAAAATATAAAAAAATATAACTTGTGGTTCGGTTTAGTCCTGTCTATGAACAATGTAGTCAAATTTAGTTGTTCACAGTGTTTTATGCTGAATTTCAAAACAGAAATAATGGGAGCATAAGTTACTGAACAGGTTTTGATGAGAATTTTTCCCCAATTTGAAAGAATATTATTTTAGTAATTTAACAAAATCTATTATGTGATCATTGAGCCTAGATTACTTTTGTAAGAAAGTACAAGACTTTAAGTACTATTTTTGTAACAAATATGATACAAGTTGCTCACTGAGATCATGGAAGATATTAGCTCAATTGTGCTAAGGAGTGCTCATGGTAAGCTTAAGTGAGTAATCTGTCACATTTATATTTTTAAAAAGAGTAAAAATGAGCCACTTAGTAGCTAAGCATGCCTAATCTTTCTATATTTTTTGAAACAACCAATACGGTTGATTTATGGGTTCATATAGGTTTGGAAAAATCTTTGAAATTTGTAACGGTTTCTCAAGTCCTGGAAAGAAGTTCAATTTGGAAAAAGTATTCAAAATTTCAGTGAATTTCTGTAACATTAATGTTTACATTGTATGCTGACTACACATTTCTATGATAAATTCTAATAAAGAGGATTTCAGTTAGATAAAATTTCATGTTTATGAGTGAAATTATGTATTTTCATATTTTCATATTTCTCTTTTAGGAGGTCTGAACATTTGTTACTTGTCCAAAATACTGAAGCAGGAGGCAAAAGTAAAAATTAAGAAGGAAAAACAGAAAAAACATTTGCTTAAGAAATACTATATGAAAATGCATTTTTCATTATGAATATAGAATATTTAAACTTTTACAAATTAAAAATAAGTTTGTTTGTGTCCTAGGCATTCCTACAGTGAGGGTTCATGTATGAAAAATGGAAATTGTGAGTGCAAGATTTTGAAGTCCTGTTGGGTTGATAATGGACAAGTTGTGGAATACACTAGCTGTAGTCAGGTGGTTACACGCACAGATGGAGAAGAAACTCAAGCCAGCATTAATGTTGACACACCTACTTCACATGCCAGTCAGTCACAGCCCAATTCATCCATTTCTGAAATGTGCCCATCTGTAGCACAGTATCCAGTGGTCAATATGACAGGAGTTGTGGTTCAAGTAAAAAAATCTCCTCAACCTGCCAGACCCCCAAGATATGAAGAAGTTGTAGTTACAAATGTATGTACGGCTGAAATAGTTCTCTTTCATAAAAAATGTTCATAAAACATTAACAAGAAGATTTAAGAAGATCTACACGATGGGCATTTTGAACTGATGCCATAATCTTGTTTTGATAACTCAAAAATCACATTTTAACTAACTCATAAAAAGCCATAACAGTCGAATTACTTTCAGAACTTGTTAATCTCTTAAGTTTTTTTATTTTATGTTGGACCAGATTTTTGGTTGTGTAGTAGTAAAGTTTAGGAAAGTAACTAATATCACTGGTTTTTATTGTTTTTCAGTGTTCATGAGACATCATATCAGTTTAATATTTTGTTTGGAACCAGGTTTTAATGTACTTATTCAGGGTGTTTTTTATCGTTCTAAACCCAGTTTATCATTATGTTGGATTTCAATGAGAAGTATAAAAACTTTATTGAAAAAAGTAGAGTAAATTTGCTTGACATTTACTAGATGTTTGAAGCCAATAACACTGTTTCAGTATTACAATTTTAAATAGTTCTAAACAGTGTTTAGTAACTTGGTTATACTTTGAGAAGTAAGTGGGTATGTTCTTTGTCATTAAACAACTTGTCATAGCTTATTTAGAAGATATTTATTTCCAATATGGTACTTCTCTCTTCACACAAGATTAGCTATTCTTGTCTAGTGCTGCCCTCTATGTGAAAATTTTTTCTTTACCCATGTCACAAGCCTTCTGACCCCCCACCGTATTGGAATCGAAGAATTCCAGCATGTCTCTTATGCGTCGCTTCTCCACCAATAGGAGCATGACATACACGACATACTTCTTGTTTGGCAGCGTTTGAGCTCAGACGTATACCTTTTGTTTGTTAAAGTTTCACATTCATCTTTAGTATACTCGTGAAGAGGTCTTCATTTATTTTCATTTCTAGTTTTATTAAGACTCTTTCTTTACTTCTCTTTAATCCCAGTTTATTACCTTCTTATTTTTACTTTCACTTTTGGTTGATTCTGCCTCATTATTAATTCCAAAGTTCATGTCACCACTTCAGGGGTCACACCTGCAACAAGAGCAATGTCTCAGGCCTCAGGTGTGAGTGACCTGATGGGGGAGTTATCTGCATTTATTCACAGGAAGATTGAATGTTACATGGGTCAACCTCTGTCTCCAAGTCTCACCCCATTTCCTCCCGAACAGGCTGTTCTTGTGCAAGCAGACGAGGTCTTGGATTGCCTATTTCCACTTCTTGACTTTGTTGTGCCTTTCCATGTTCCACCTGAGAGTCAGTTAGGCCTCATATAGTCTTGTTGGATTTCGTTTCTCAGGTATGTGACATTTTATCCATTTCCCTTATTTCCTATGAACTATTTCCTTCCTTATTCCATGAACAATCTTCCCATCCCTATTTGGTTTTTTCCCCCTCTCTGGATATTTGGGTACATGCTGAACAATTTGGCTCTCAATTAAGTGATGGGATTAGCATGTCTTGCCCCCCATGGGCTTTGGATCAGTTTGCTCTTGCATATCATAGGGCAGACTGTCCTTTTCTGGACCAAGATTTGTTAGGTCCCATTTTACCTGTTTGGGGTGTTGTGCCCAAATCTCCAATAAGTCTGACACATGCCCAATTTTCCATCTTACTCTCAGAACTTTTTTATGGTATCTCTCTACATCTCTTCTCTGAGGCTCTCCACCAAACTCCTGGGGGTTTCTGGGGACATCCTCTTCCTTCTTCCACGTCTGTTGTCTGGCTCTAGCTTTACATGCATGGTTTCTCTGTTGTTGGTGGCCTTCTAGGTTGTGATGCGACCTTAATTTGCATCTGTTTCCATAATATTATATTTGGGATTTACGTATGGCCCCCCATTTCTGCAGCAATACATCTATGACATGATCCCTGAGTCTTTGGAATGACGAGTTACATCAGTCTACCCTTGCCAACCATGTTGCCCATTTGTCTCAGTCAGGGCCCAATATGGCACCTGTCCCTCCCCTTCCCAACCCTTACCTGTCCCTTCCTCCCAGGGTGCCTTGTCTTGTCATTTTCTTTGACGATGCACGTCACCAACAGTATCGGTGACTACCCTTGGAGGGTCTTCGGCTTGCTGATTTTCTTCCTCACTGGCATCAAATCGTCAAGGATCAGTGGGTTATTCAAGTTTTATCAGAAGAATTCGTGATTCTGTTTTTGTCCCCCCCATGTCTCCTATACCCATTTCCTAACTTCTGCCTCAGGAACCCATGGCCAGCCAGCATCTGTTAGAGGTGGTCCATTAACTACTATCTCAACAGGCATCACATCTCAATCGCTTTGTTCAACTACACCTTTTTACCATGGAGTTTTTTCTCACCCTACTGTGGGTGTTTTCTCTGGGCTTATGGATGGCCAAGATGGATGTCACCAATGCTTATCTCCACATCCCTATATCCCTACGGTCTCATCTGTATCTTCTGTTCATCCATCAAGGAGTGGTTTATCAATTTTGTGCACTACCTGTCGGGCTTGCTTCCACTCATGTTTTCTGTTGGGTGGTCTGAGCTTTTTCTTACCATCTTCATGCTCTGGAGTTGCAATTCCACCATTATATGGGTGACTGTCTTCTTCTGGGTCATTCGGAACTGGAGTCGGCTAGCCATACTCGTCAGCTCTTTCTAGTGGCTGCTTAGGTGGGCTGGTTAATGAAAGTAGAGAAATCCTTCCTCCAACCTTCCCAATATCACATCCACTTTGGTATCCTTTTCGACACTCAGTCAGGCCAAACTTTCTCCTCTATGACTCTAAACAATGGAATTGTCAGTTTGCCATGCCCTTTCAGCTCCCTCACTTTCTGCTCGCGAGGTTCTGTCGCTTGTGGGGATGTGGTCTTACATGATGTCACTGGTCCCCCTCAGTTGTGCACATATGAGATCCCTTCAGTGGGCTCATCGTGATCAATGAAACCTTGCTCAGGATCCCTTGGCAGCTCCTTTTACCCTTCCTTATATCTTGATAGTCAATCTGCATTGGTGGCTGGACAAGACCCATACATTGGTGGGTGTCCCAATTCCTCGTCCGGATTTACATCTTTTCATGGACACATCCCTTCAGGTCTGGGGTGCATGGATCAATCGCCAGGAGGCTTTGGGTTGTTGGTCTGTAGATGAAAGGTCCTTGCATATCAACATCCTCGAGCTTCGGACTTTGAAACACTTCCTTCATCTCGCCAGACACTGTCTGGTGATGATTCATTCTGACCGTTCTATGGTGGTATCACACATCAATCACCAAAGGAGCATCCAGTCAAAATCTCTCTGTTTTCAAACGTTGGATCTTTTATATTGATCCCACACACACACACACACACACACACACACACACCACATTCATCTTATTGTGTATCGTGTTCTGGGTGCTTTCCACCCTGACCAAATATATCTGATGGAGTGGTCTTTAGATCCCATAGTTTTTGCAGTGACTTTGCAATCTGTGGGGTTTCCCTAAGTAAATGCATTTGCCACATACCTCAATCACAGGTTACCCCTCTTTTGGTCCATGGTACCTCATCCCCAGGCTCTGGCTGTCAATGCCTTCAACCAGGAAGTTATAATATTCCTATACTGAAAATGTATTCCCGATAGGTACTTCCCTCTACTCACACTTCCCACCCTTCCTCCCCACTTTACTCTGGTGCTTACATCTTCTGCCAAATGTCGAAGTGATAGTTCAATAGAGGCGTATAAAAGGAGTCACGTGGAGAAGTGATGTATGATGATTTACATGAGAGACATGTTGGAATCATTTGATTCCAATAGGGGGGAGCAGAAGGCTTGTGGCATGCGTAAAGAAAAAATTGCATATAGAGGGCTGCACTGGACTAGAATAGCTAATCTTGTGAGTGGAGTGAAGAACCTATAGAAACTACATTTTCAGTATAGGAAAATTATAAATTTATGAATTCTCAAAAAATAATATATAATTTTCTCATTATTCAGGAGGAAGTTGGGCCTCCCCCTACTTATAATGATGCTGTGAATATTGAAGGTGATACAATAAGGCAAGTATGGCAGACCATGCTTGTGGTTCATCCAAGGTATCACTGACAGTATACATATTCAAGAAAGATGTATCTTTTAAAAGTTACCTGTGTAAGTAAGTACTAAACTACTAGTATAGAAAGTGATCATTATTTGTGCTCAAAATATATGTGAAAAACAACATGAGACGATAACAAATACAAAGATTTGTTTTGAATTTATTGCTCAGTTAGCATTTAATAAAAGTTAATTTTAGATAAATCCAGTTATATGGATTACATTTTAATCAAGTATTTCTGATGATAATAATTGTTTTTGTCATTTTGTTTATATTTGTTTACCGAGAAGTTTGTGCAGTTGTAAATGTTTAGATTTAGTTTTTGAGAAATACCTATATTATTGTTATAGTTACTGTTGACATAAGTATTGTTTGAAAATGTTTTATTTGGAAATTGTTGTGTAGTATGGTTTATAATTGATACATTGATAAAAAAAAACTTTTTTTTTTTTTACTAATTTAAAGCTACTGCAGTAAGGTACAATATTTTTTGATTGGGTATGAGGTTTCAGTTGCTGGTGAGATCATTCTCCAGTACACAGATTTTAATAATAAAGCGGTTTTTGTATTTAAATCAACATTTAACAGTGTAACAATATATATATATATATGTTGTTAATATTGATTTAAACACAAAAATGTTAAAAGTTGTGTACTTGGGAATTATCGCACTAGCAATTCAAATGTAATACCTGATTTTTCCTTACTTTAAAAGCTATAACTTGTAAAAAGAAATTGGTAAGTAAACTCAAATAAAACTATTGAAAACAAAACTTAGATTTCTTGTCGTAACAAAATTGCTCATATGATTGTTTGAAAGAGTTCAAATGAATACAGGTTAATTAAAAAATATATCCAATATTTAGAATAACCACACTTGTTGTAGAAGTACTTGTCGTAGGAAACACTGTCACCAGCAGCATATCCAGAATCATAAGTTTTATTCAGCAAAAGTTTGAACGTGGTTCAGGATGTTTCAAATCTCTATTATACAGCAAACTTAAGTTGCTATTTTTTTATAAACTAGCCGATTACTTTTGTTCCTGTGTATTTTCTGCCTGTTAACAATATCAGATTGTTGATTTTAATTTTAATAAAATGCTTGTCAGTATGCAGGAAAGTGCACGATTTGATTATGCTATCAAACTAATGGCTGTTTTACTTTGGTGAAAGGCAATTCCACAGAGAGATTAAATGTCTGATTTCTGGTTGGCAAGATCTTTTGACATTGCACCAGCAGTTGTCTACCAGATTAGCCTGTAAGATTTTAAGGATCTGAAAATGGCCATTAGTTATAAAATTGTGAAAATCAGTGAACACTTACTTTAACAAATGAATGAGTATAGTAGCTTTATGTAGGGATAAGGTTGATATCTTGTGAAAGGTTTTAAAACAACTTTTTACAATGTCCAAACTTTCTGAATAAAGCACTTCTGGTAAAATTTAATTTTCCTAGAATAAATTGTTTTTAAGATGAAATCAATTTAAATATTTAGGTATTTTTTATAATCACCTTGCAGATTTGTTATTTTATTCACTGATCTGCTCTTTAACTGTCTTATCATGTTTTAACAAATTCATATTGTAATTAAGAAGTGCATGGCACTGAAACTGTATCAATTTTTTTTCATTCTATTTGTTTCTTATGTGATTTTTTGTTATTAGATGTTTTAGTCTAATGTAATGTCTCAGATGTGTATGTTGCACCATTTTCAGAGAGGATGATAATATGTGTTTCTTTTTTCTCTGATATACGTTTTGATTGTGTTTTAAGATTGACTGTGATGCTGTTTCTCATGTTTTTTTTATGCCCAAAAATTTTAGTCACACTTCTCTTGCAGTTAGTTAGAGTATGTTAAGAATAGGACTACACGTATAAGCCAGAAACAAACACTAACAATAAATTAAAAATGTATTGGCATTAAAATGGCAAAATTTTGTTCACAGAAATATAAACTTATTTAGAACACCATCATAGTTTTATTGAAAGTATCATTTCAGATCATTCAAAATCCTATTTTTATTATAGCAGTTTAAATTTTTATAGGAAGATAAGCTTAACTGATCATTTAGGTTTTCAGTTACTGTTCAGTTGAGAGGATTATAACTTCCTCTTCCTAACGTTGAAAAAACTTAACTTGTGAATTTAAATGAAGAAATAGGAATGTAAGCTGGAAAACTGCATTTTTAATACATTTACAAATAACTTGTCTTCCAAATCAGTTTTTTTAAACTAATAACATGTATATTATTACATAATTCAATTGTTTTTGTTTTCAGGAAACTTGTATACATGACTAAATTTTTTGTAATGTTACTTTTGTCTGCCAAACTTAAGGGAAGTAAAAATATAACTAGTGATTAGAGCTCAAGATGTTGTTTATATATTATTTTATTCATTTCTTGTCATAAGACCAGAATTATTATACTGTAAGGTATCATGAAAATGCTTATATTTCAGGGAATAGCTCATATGTGTTTTCTATGAGAAAAATAAATTTTCTAATTATGATGAATGAAAATATCTCTACAAAATGTATCATTATTAAAACAAGATTATAATTTTTAGGTAGTATAGTTAATTGTGTGTGTGTGTATGATTTAGAAGTAGCTTTATTGAGAATGAAGCTGCATATTTAACATAGGTTATTGTAGGATTATTATCACGTATCTAAGTCTGGAAATATTAAAATATTGTTTATAAAGTTTAAAATTCTCATTTTAAACATTGTCTGTCTGGTGTTTCAATAAATTGTTTAAGATAAGATATTATATCTTTTAAAATCAGACTTGAGTTTAATATAAAGTCGTTTTAGATAAAAAAAAAAAAAGGAAATTATGGAACTTAGAGTGACCATAGATTTAAGGTTGTGGAAGATTTTGTGTGAAAGTATAAATATTAAGTCAGGTGTTGTTTTAATTTTTCTGAATATATCTTCTAAACACCTTGAGTGCAGTTTACTCTACAAACAATTATATTATTTACAAAGACAGTTATTGAAAAGGGTTCTCGGAAGATTGTATGTTTTGGCTTTCAAAGGTTTACTAAGCTCATTCAATGAGGCATACACCCCTTATCAGTGTCCTAAGATTTTTATCTCATACCTTTTTCCTCTGGAGATGTGTGGTTTATCTCTGCTGCATCTTTGACCTTTTTATTTACTGTCGCCAAATACCACTTTTATTAGCTCATGAGTAGAACTCCAGATTTTCTCTAAACTTAATTCAGTTCAATTAAATAGTACATATATTTGAGAAAACGTTGTTCTCATGCACGCTGACAAACACTAGTACCATAATCTAAGAAGCAAGAAAATTTAGTTTTTTGAATATTATGTGTGATATGAAGTGTGTGAACTAAATATTATTTACTTAAGATTTATATATAAACACATGCCCAGTGACAGAGCGGTATGTCTGCGACTTACAACGATAGAAACCGGGTCTAGACACCCGTGGTGGGCAGAGCACATATAACCCATTGTGTAACTTTGTGCTTAACTTCAAACAAATATATAAACACACATTGTCAGGAGAAATGCTTTTCAAGTCATTGAAACTATTAGGTAAATATGATTAAAAATTAATTATTCATAGTTTTTCTTGCAGTTCTTCTGAGGTTACTTTATCAGTATAAAATATATTTGTTGTAAATTATTGTAGTAAATTTTAATCGTGTTAAAGATCAGGGTGTGAAATTTCGATTGTTAAACAGCATTTATCATCAACAAAATCTTCTTAGTGTTCCAATCAAGTTTCATGTATAGTGTTATTAATAGTAGAAAAGTGTATGCTGAAAGAGAACTGTTATCAAAATACTTACTGTAGGTAAATAGAAATAGTTATTAATCAGTAGCAGGTTTAATGCCAGTCACCATTTGAAGCCAAGTAAACTTTGTTGAAATGTAATTGTGACATCCATACAAATTTTTAAAAATTTGCAAGAAAATCAAATCTTTTATATTCTTTGATAGATATGTATGGTGATATATTTGGTTATTTTCTATGAAGATCAGTGGAGTGAACGTTTCTGCATTTTTTAGGCCCTTTCTTCATGCTGTCATATTAATCCTAGTTCATTGATACTAAATACATTGATCTTTTAGTTGCTTAAGTAACAAACTAATCAAGACCATGTAAACAAGTCTTGAAATAGTTTATCTACCTCATCTTTATCCTAGTCATTAATTAGATTGGTCTAAGCATGAAGCATACACGCATTAATATGGATTTGTTTTCTGTAGTGTGTTGTCTTCTCACAGTCACACTTAAACTTTGATTTTGACTTTAAATGCCATTGAATTAACTTTCTATACATCAGATTTAAATCAGAAGGTGAAATATTGTAATTAACAAAGATAGATTTTATGCCTAGATTAGGTAAAACGTCATGCTTAACTTCCTTATATAAGAAACCAAACTTGCATATAATGTTGATGTTGTTAAATTTTTAAAAAGAAAAGTAAAAACAAGAATGATAGTAAAAGTTCTTTAAGTGGTTTGAAAAACTTATGTTGCACATCACCTTTTTGTTGGTCAAAATTAACAAAAACAAATTACACAAAAATGTGATTTATTTCTTGGTTTAATTTTTTATAGCACTTAACAGGTAACTAATAATATCTATATAGTGATCCCAAAGTAAGGGTAGCTTCCCAGTAAATTAGAAAGGTATGTCTTATGTCTATTTTACTCTATAACATTTCTTGTTACCTCTTGTTAGTTACATCTGTTCTTTGAAAGATCATGTACTGAATACTGAAACTCCATTTTACATTGCTAGTCGGTTGTCTTTGCAAAGCATTAAAGTATGCTCATTAAAGGATCCTTAAGTTTTAGGATTAGTAGAATCCTTTCATTATCCATGTGGTTCTTTAGATCTGAATAAAGAAAAGTTAATTCAGATGGTAAGCACATCCTCCTATTGTTCTTTTAAATTACAACATTTTAAATGAAGTTATTCTACATCTTGTAAAGCCACTAATGGCTTATTAGCATGAAGAAAAAAATTGAAAATGTTAGTCAGGGTGTTTTCTATTCCGGAAATGTAAAGAACAAATATATTGTGTTAAATATTGTAATTAAACATCAAATTTAACACTAGATTTCATAACGCATTCAATAATCAATTTCTGCTTTCCAATGCAAGATGTTTTCAAAATTTCACAATACAATCTATCGTAAAAATCACAAATTGTCTTGTCTTATCTTTGCTCAACATGTTGCTAAAGTGCTATCAAATTTTGGTTGTCAACAAAATTTTCAAAATACTTGGCATTTTGTGTTCAGTTTATGGATGTGATCACTCAGACTAAGACATTTGCCAGTGCTTCTGCCATTTCTAAAAGTTATACATACCACTATTTATTTCACTCTGAATATAATGATTGCAAGATTTTTGGATATGCACTTGTGTGATTATAAGTGCCGTGTTTGGTTCATTTAAAATGAGATAAAACAACAAATAGTCACATAAAATAGTGTGTATAAAATCAGTCATGAATGAAACAAAATCTATTAAAAGCATCCACATTCAGTCAGAAACAGTTTCTCACCCAACTTCTCACATTTTTAAAGTTACTATTGTTAGATTATATTGTAAAATGAGCTCTTTCTAATGACTATACACAAGTGTATGTAACATCTACATGTAGGCTATAAAGCTCAAACAAATCTGTTGAAGCTGGACATAGCACCTGTCAGGGGTTGAACAGATTTATTACTTGTGTCAATTGTAGTCATTCAGAGAACTTTGAAATGTGCGAGTCAACTACCATTGAAGATACAGAAGTAGAGAATTTTCATAGCTTGTTGGTCATGTGACAATACATCTAAAGTTTTAAATAGTTTTTAAAGGTTTACTTTGAAATAAAGGACTTAAAACTTAGATAAAATAAAACATCAAATCATAACACATTACAACATTAATTTCATTCATATACATTGATAGTAAAAGTGTTTATTTCAATTTTGAATGTAACACAGTGACTTGCATAGAAAAGCATTTAAAGGGGCACCCATTGCAAAAGGGTTAAGATATCCGATTATTAATGTTTATTCATTTGTATAAAACCGTTTGACTCGTACTTTAAAAAACTAGTACTTGAAGATTTTTTTTTTTTTCATTCATTGGCTTGATGTTTTTCCTTGGGCTCCAACAATATGACCTTCAACAATATGAACCAAAACAGAAGATAATCTTTACAATGTCTGTAGCTGTTTGCAGTAATTTATCTGAAACTAGAAATTAATGTTTATTTAGTATCAGTTTTGCTAGTTAACTTTGTTGATGATGGACGTTAATTAATGGTTTAATAAAAGTTGCTAGATTGTGATATTTGTTTTCTTTTTAGTTTGTGTGTACTTATTGTTTAGTGGTGCTTTAGACTGCATAGAAAATTTCCATTCATAAAGTTCGTCATGAACTTTTATAAACTACTTTATGCTAACATGTAAGCATAAAACTGCTCAACCATCATCATCCAGTCATTTGAGACAAAATGATCAGGAATGTATGTCATTTTCCACTTACACATTTGAACAAAGCTTGGGTTTCATTATTATTTGCCAGGAGCATAGTGAAAATGTTTTTCAGAAACTTTTACAGTAATTGATCTCTGAAAATATGCCCATAATATTTGTTCTTTTCAAATGAGTAAAAAACTATGTGTAACAGTCTGTATGATTGATTATGCTATGTTCTGATGAAAAGTTTTATTAGTACAATGATAAAGTATGTTACAGAAATTTTAATCTTTATAACGTAAGTTATTAGGTTATGTTCATGAATGAGAGAAACAAGTGAATGCCACACAACATTTTATATTTGACTGGCATTCCTTTAGTAAATTTGTGTACGTAGAATGATTATGATATAGAGATTGCTTTTATAGTGTAATTATTTTTAATATCTATTTTAGACTTTTATGATGCAATGTGACTGGTTGCTTAGAAATATTCTTGTGACCACTCAATTATTTGTTTTTTTCAAAAACATACTGCTACATATAGCAATTATATTAAGCATATATATTGAGTGATTTAATTTTAATGTGTAATGGGCATATTCTTTTGTTTGGATGAAATTGATAGATTAATGCAAATAGTATGAAATATTAACATGAAACTTTCATTTTATACTTGAGTATTATCTTTTAGAAACTTAAATGATAATAAATAGTTTTCTGATTTATAAATTTGTAAAAAAAATAAAAACAGACAAATTAGTTAAAAGGTTATTTATAATTTTTACTTATTGGAAACTTAAACCATCTAAATGCCAGGGCAGAATTTTATAAAATCTTCAGAAACATTTGGAATGTACTGATTTTATAGTATAAAATTTTGGTAAAAATAGTAAGGAAATTAAAAGCATATTTGCTTGTTACTTGTAATGTGTGGGAAGTTGCAAATACATTATCTCTCTTGGAACTAAAGTACAATTGAGAAAGAAAATAGAAAACTTGTTAGTGGAAGTAATTAAAACACATTTCACACCCATTTGTTATACCATATATTTCTTATATTATTGTAGTGTGAAAGTGTGAAATAACATTAGACAGATTGATGTTGTGCTGCAGTGGGTAATGCTGAAAGCCATCAACAGATCTTTTTTATGACATACTCAGAAGATACACAGATTTTAGACATTGTTATTAATCAGTTTAATATAGGCCATTTTGGGTTAAATGTGCATCATGTAGCATTAAGATATCCATGTGGTCAGTGAGGAAATATTCTACAGCTGCAGAGATTTTTGAAACTGAGCTGGTGGTAATTTTGTCTATATAGAAATGTAGAATAAGTGAAATTATATGGGTCTACCCCCTTGTTAACCAACTGTAAATACAAATGGTGTATGTTGTATTATAAGTATTACCTCATTCTGTAGTGTGTTTCTGTGAAAAGTGATTTTATGTAGATTTTTCTATAATCAAGATTTTATTTTTTGAGAAATAAACTTTTTTGAAACATCTGTTGCAAAAACTCTGTTATTGTAAAAGAAACAGTAAGTTTTAGGGTATGAAGAACCTTACCTGGTTGAGCATATTTATGAATGATATACATGTATTTTTGATATAATATCATAGTAACATTGATAATAGCTTAAACTACATTGTGGCTCAGTGGTAAGTCTGCAGACTTGTAATGATAAAAACTGGTTTTTGATACTCATGGTGAGTATAGCATAGATAGTGTATTGTGTAGCTTTGCACTTAACAACAAACAAACTAACAATTACACAGCTTTTTTTTGTTTTGTTTTTTACTGGTCAGTGCAATTATCCAGTGAATAGTTTCTACCCATAGATATATGGTAACATTTCAGTTATATTTTGTTATTTTATGCTGTATCTGCCCAGATCTTGTGCTAGAAAGCAGAATTTTTCAGACTGTCTGAGTTGCAACATACAATGCTTATTAGTTTACCTGATTTGTTCTAGTAAAAAGTATCTCTGGCAGCAGCATAAAATATAGTAGAAATCCAAACTGGGCCAGTAGGGATTAGTGGTTTAAATTATTATGGTACTCTATTAAACACATATACATTATAAATTATTGCAAGGTATCAAAAATTTCTTTTTGGGGGAGGGATCAAATTGTAAAAATTTGATTTGTTACAACCTAATTCCAGTTAAAATTTTAAAAAGAGTTTATTAATAACAATATAGATTGTTTATCAAAAAACAAAGATAATTGAGTAAGATGAATACCAGCCATTTCATTGGACAAAGTATAAAAAACAACAACTTTAAATTCATGATGTGAATAAGCCAATCTTGAAAATAAATTTGAACTTAATATTAAACATCTACAAAAGGTAAATAAATTTCTAATGATCATATAAATCAAATGGATGAAAATATCTTAGCTTGCAGGCTTAGTTTTCTACAGAATGAGAGTATGACACTATTTAAATATAAACTATTACATCGTCCCTCTAAGGTTGCAGGTACTAACCACGTCATTGATTGTCCTCTCCCGTGAAAGTAAGGAGAATTTAACAACCAGGCATTCTAAGCTCAAACATGGAAATGTTATTACAGAAAGTAGATACAAAAAATTTTAAATAAATCTCCAAAGGAGAATGGATATGCCACTGGTAAACAAAGATCTCCAATTGCAGGAGAGACCGCAAGCACTGAGTGGTAAATATAGTGAACTGTGGAGCAGATCAGATATCTTCCGAGATGGAAGACAAGTTTCTTATAGAAACTCATTGTTCTGCTGTCCAAAAACTGGAGTCAAATGTTTGTCTTAAACATAAAGTTCCCTGAGCACCAACCCTACTTAAGACTCGTAAGAAAGGTGCATCAGAGAATTTGGGCACTTATGTTGATGATTTGCTTCACCTACATGGGAAAAAATATTCCTCCTTTGTGTCAGTAGATTGCAAGGATAAGTTTGAGGAAGAAACTTCCAATCAAAATTATGTGACATCAATCGGATGTAAGAGATACACACTAATGGAGGCAATATCTGTGGCAACTAAGTTCGGAGTTTTAACTTTGAGCCCGTCAGAGCAAAGGATGCTACTGATAAAACCTATATGAAAGAAAGCTAAGCTCATGTTTCACCAGGGTTGCACAGCCAAAATTACCTCTGGAACACACCCAGAATGGGTACCAGTGAGTACGCAAGGTTTTCCAGAGCTATCAATGATAGTTGGGCTATAGTAAGTGCTGCCAATCTCTCTTTTCTAAATGTAGTCTTGAAAGGGTGGACCAGCACATTTGTTTTGATAATGGGCTCATATTTTTCCCTGCAGAAGATAGGCAAAACTATCCATTCCACCGGGCTGATCACCAGATAACATATAGATGTTTTCACTCCCACTCCAAAAAAATGGAGCCCTAGGTGAAACAAGTTTCATAAATACCCTGCTCAACCTTGTGGTTTATCAGATTATCCAAATGAAACCACCATTTTGACCACTTGATTCTGATTTCATTATAGGGGTGGACCTACTGTAGAAATTCGTATTATCATGTCATATTATCAGATTTTGTGTCCAATTTCTCCATGACCACCGCACATTGTTTACTCTGACTAAGACCAAAATGAATTTTAGGTGAACTGAGGATTGTAACAATGTGTTCCAGTTTAGTAGAAGTTCCAGTGTTAGGATACCCAAAACAAGATTGACCATTCCTGTTGGATACTAGCAATTATCGAATTTAAGCAGTTTTGTCGCAGATGTAGGAGGGATTAGAATATATTATGACATATGTTAGTCATATGCAGAGAACTCGTGAATGAAGATACTGCACAATACAAAATAACCAAATTTGTAGTATTTGCGCAATATAAAAGTTACTATTTTTTGTAACATGATATACTGTAATGCATTGTTACTTTTAAAAATCCAAAAGATATTTTGAATATTGGATCACAATTTTGCAAGTGTATGACTTTATTGGACATCATTGACCAGATCCATAGCACAGACATGTCAGTGGGTTGTATTGCGAAATGGTGAGAGCTTGTCCATTCACCTATTGTCCTGATCTTTTATCCCACACGATAATGAAACAAATTGCAATAACAGTGACATGAAACCGTAGTTAGTGATAATTCCACTGATGGATGCACACCATGATTGATGTTTCAGGAGCTTTAAGAATATCCACTGAAGGACCTATATTTAGCTTGTGAAAAGAGTAAAAATTTGCAAAATTTCTATCCAGTCCTTCACAAACATTTTAACTGGTCCTTCAAGGATTCCAAATGGTCCTTATTAGGTTTAACTGACCCACTGCAGGAACATGTATGTATATGCTAATTCCATTTTATTAATTGCAGATGTGAATTTCTTAAAGAAGGACACATTTGTAAATATTGATATACATACATGTGCAACATTAAACGAAACTCTTTAGTTGAAACAAGTTTTTATTTTTATCAGTCTTGAAGTGTACACAATCTTTATATGAATCCAGATATATACAAAAATAATGTAGCTTGAGATTACTATTTTAATACTGACCAAAGGGTAAGATATTTCTTCATTGGGATTTTAGTATTCATCACACTTTGTTTGGATTTCTCCCATCATTTACATGTTCCAGGAATCCACTTTTTCATTTCAAACATCATAGGGATTTCCCATAATGTTTTATAAGCAGGCCAGGATTTCTACAAAAGCTAGAGGCTCCATTTTAGAGATTGAAGTAAAGAAGATGCTTTCACATAATGGTTTTAGGAGAAAAAATTGCATGTTTGATAACACAGTAAAACAGGGAAAATGCTTAAAATTCTAATCAGCCCAAACTGGTCAGAACCAACTAAATGACGCACATTTTAAACCCTGTTTGGGAACTACTTGCTGTCCATCAGAGTAAAGTATGACCATCACAGATTGAGGAATGTAGTTCAAACACATGTAACCTGTGGCACTTGTATGAGTGTTTACAAGTGCAAGGACGTGCTTTACTGTTATAATAAGCTGCTGAGACATGGTTTTCAAGATGTGCTGAAGTTAGTGGTTCCCAGAGCTCCCAGACAGGAGATACTTCAGACTTTGTATAATGCAAGGACTATAAACTATCAGGGTGTTACATTAATATGTATAAATGTGTAGAAGTGGTTCTATTGGTTACATTTACATTGAGACTTTGAACAATGATGCATAAGCTGTACCGTGGGTGCTATTCATAGAAAAATCCAGTAAAAATAGGATAATCTTCAGCAATGGCAGTTGATTCTCCATTGTTGAGAGAGTAGTCCTTGGATGGTTCTAGGGAAAAGATAGTCCTCTCTTAGAGGTTGAATCAAGTAATTGTGAATTACTTCATCTTGATGACTGAAGCTTATTCATTAGTCAGCACCTTAGAGTAGTCTGTAGCTGACGCGTTGGTTAAACAATTGGAGTAATTGTAGAAATCCACATGGACAAGATGGCTAATTCAAACAGCCAGCTATTTTATGAACATTGCAAAGTGTTAGATTTGGTGAGATACACACCTCACTTTATCACTTCATTCTTAAAGTTGGATAAAATGCGTAATACAGATTACCAAGCAAATACTCACAATGTTTGTTAGTCCTGACTAAACTGATTGGGCCAAACCATGTTTGGTTGAGTAATGCAGCTTCCTGTGAACATGATGTGTGGTCACCAATCTGGAGGAAATGTGCTACAATGTTTTCAAGATTATATGGAGCCATTCAGCTCTGCACATGAGTTTATACGACATCAGCTAGGAAAGTCCATCATATAGTAGAAAAGATTCTATGATAAGTCAATGAAGGAATGAAAATTTGAGTATGGAGACAAGGTATGGCTTTGATAAGTGATTGTGATATGGAAACTTTGGCTGGATTTGTCACTTTTTAATTCTATGATAGCTCAGTCCATCAAACTATGAGCTTCGGTGCTCACGTGCCATTCATAGGAGTCTAAAATACATTGACAACCTCTGAAAAGCTGAGTTCGGATTTTTGTTTTTTTGTATGTAGATTGCTTTTAGTGTGATGAAGAAGAGAAATAGGGTAGTCATGTTTTAAAAAAAAAATGGAACATGTTGATAGATTTACTCTTATAATCTTGGTTGTTATGGCACAGCCTACTTAATCAGGTGAGTCGAGATTTGGTAATGCTTCTCTTGACGTATAGAGAATGACTGGAGTGAAAATGCAAGTAGCTATGTGTGTCTGTTGGTTTGTAATGGACAGATGTCACGAGATTGCCACAAACAGTCACAAAAATATTTATCTCAAGAAATGAAATAGCTTGATAGGAAGTAGAAGACGTGTATTGGAGTGATGGGTGAAAGGATTTAACTAACTCAAGAAAAAGCTCGAGTTCATCATTCGTTTTATATACCGAATACATCATCAACATATCTACAATTTAAGGCAGGGAGGGCACCTGTGTACTTATGAAACATAGAGTCTTCAATGTAACCAACAACAAGGTTAGTATGGGAAGAATCTTGTTTGGTTCCCACGGCTACACCATCCACTAGTTTATAGAATGTATTGTCAAAAGAAAAGACATCTAATGTTAAAGTTGTTCAGCTAATCTAATCAGGGTGTCAGTAAGTGAGTCTAGAGGATGCCTTCTGTCAGAGTAATGTTTTAGGACTTTGAGTCCATCTTCACGTGAAATGGAGGTAGGTATACAACGACGTTATGTCAAGTGTGGATAAAATAAAAGAATCTGATTTTGAATTAAAATTCCCAAATTTTTTGTAAGGTGTCGTTGATGTCCTGAATCTAAGTAAGAATTTGATTAACTTAGGAAATTAGGATGGAAGCGAGGTGACTAGAAATGTATTCAATAGGGTAGTTGCTGTTGAAACTGGGGGCCTGCCAAGATTGTCTAGCTTACGTATCTTGGGAAGAAGATAGAATACAGAAAGTCTACGGTATTTAACAAATAAGTTCTTAGCTTCTAATGGAAGATCAATATTTTTTTATCAATCTTATATATATTGCGGATGTGGTGTCTGTCCGAGAGTTCGCCTATCTTCCATTTGAAAAGCTGCGCACGCAGGCAAAGTTCAACATTCACTTTTGAAATGACGGGAGAACAGGCAGGAATAATGTTAGTGCCAACTTTTCTTTCGCAAGAGGATATTCTACACTAAATTGTTGGGAATTAATCACACTATCATTCACATTTCAAAATGTGACGTAACTTAAAGAATAAAAATGTAGATTTACCGTAGGTTATTCTTGAGTGGCTCTTAGCATGACTGAAATGCTCTTCAATTAGTTTTCGCGGTGGGTGTTAATAAATAAGTCAGAGCTTAGGCTCTGAGTGAAACCAAGAGTGTAACACAATTAACTTTTTCAAAGTTCATGAAATAATTTAAAATTGATAGATTAACTTAAACTTTTCCCGCCGCTGGGGACGAGTACTTTTGCTTGTAGTTCTATAATGATAATATGAACAGTCTGTTGATGTTCATCAAGCGGGATTTTATCATAGATAGCATAAGACGATTGGTCTTATAATCGTCGGTGAGCTTCCTGAAAATGAAGTTCTTCCTTCCAAGCAACCACCGCTTTTTCTTTGTCATCTTGTTTTATTACAATGTCGTCATAACAACGAAGATTATGTAAAGCTATTTCTTCGTTTTTCTTTCAGATGTCTGCATTTGTAAAATCTAATTTAGTAATTAATGAGTTTTTGAATCAACATAATCTTGGAAGAGCTACCAATATGTAGTAGTGGGAGTTTAATTTTTTTTAACCGACAAGTGTTACTACATACTACCAGTATTTAGTAATTAATAAGGTTTTGAATCAACATAATCTGGGAAGGGCTTCCAATGTGTAATAGTGGAAATTTCATTTTTTTTAACCGACACGTGTTACTACATACTACCAGTATTTGAGTATAAGTATGGAGTTATTAAGTATTTTTACATAACATTACGTTTTATATTTTAAACATTTATTAGCACTAATATTATTTACTGCTTACACCCTCATGAAATCAACTTGTGCATACTATTTTCACATTCAAGAGCTTTGAAAAAGAGAAGTATATGTGTATATTGCTAATATTTAGCATTTTAAGATTAGATTTTTTGGGAATTCACATAGATTGTTATATATTGGAATTGATAGGTATTTCTACACGGTATCAGCATTGAATAAGTCAAGATTTTTCTAATCGACATGCAAAGCTACACACTACCTGTATTTAGCATTTAATGATTTTTGGAATCGACATGTATTGTTACATATTACATATGGTTGTTTACTAATGTTTTACGAACCGATATGCATTGTTATATAGGCCTAATGCTTACTGTTTAAGCTATCAAAATTTATTACTTAAATAGTTTGGAATCCAGAAACGAAAACGTATTGCTACATACTACTAGTTTCCTTAAATAATTTTGAAACTAACATGTATTGTTATATACTACTACTATACGCAAAGAGCTTTAAACTAACACGTATTGCTACATACCACTAGAATACTTAAACAGTTTTGAAACTAGCATTTATTTCTACATACTTAGTATTATAACTATTTTGTTATTCATGTTTGTTGTTACATTATGCCAGTAATTAGTATTGAAACTATTTTGTTATTCATGTTTGTTGTTACATTATACCAGTACTTAATATTATAACTATTTTGTTACGTTTGTTGTTACATTATATCAGTACTTAGTATTTAAATTATTTTGTTATAAATATATAATATTTAAATATAAAAGAAGCTGATGCTTTAAGGCACTATAGAATTTTATTAGGCTTAAAAGGAATCTCCAAGATTCCTAACTTTCTACTTGTAGAATGGTTTAGTGTTAAGGAAAACATTTTACATCAAGAAGGATCATAAATTAATTTTATTTCACACAAGCATAAACCAATGCAATGAACTCGTCAGAGTTATTCATTGGGTGAATTCACAACCAAATACCGTACAAGTAAGTACATATTTTTGGTTAATACAAAACAATCACGTTACTTATAGATCTTTCAAATGCACACTAGAATATAGGTTTCAAGAAATAGAATACGGTCAAAGAGACAAATGTTAGATGACCTTTTTGTTGTTATGTTTTTTGAATAGAATGTTTATAGATAAAAGGTTCAGAAAACACATCTGGTTTGGCGCCTTCGATTCTTCTGTTGAAGTTTTTGATTCAAAGAGAAGAAGCGCTTCAAGATTAACTCTTCATCAGTACACGGAAGAAAGGGAAACACTAGAAAAACATGTATATGTGGTTAACACAAAGTTTCGATTTCTTTTAAGAAACAATATTTAGCGCTTCAAGATTAACTCTTCATCAATACACGGAAGAAAGGAAAACACTAGAAAAAAATGTATATGTGGTTAACACAAAGTTTCGATTTCTCTTAAGAAACAATATTTAGCGCTTCAAGATTAACTCTTCATCAATACACGGAAGAAAGGAAAACACCAGAAAAAAATGTATATGTGGTTAACGTGAACTTTGATTTCTTTAAACCTTTTTAACTCAAACCAGACCTTAGTTTGACTTCTAAACGACACTGTGCCACTAAAGTGAAGCCTGTACAGAAAAGCCATTCTTTTCCAAGCATATTCAAACCCGTACAGAAACGTTGTCGTGATTAGATCATCAACACAATCAGCCATACACATCCTATGGACGGTGGCATCATTGTTTACTTCAAAGGCCCATTATCGTTAGTAGACTCGTGTGTCACCTCCTGTGCTATATCGAGGACGACAAAGGAGGGACTACAAATTCGTGCAAGGCCATCCTGACGGCGCGTAAAGCTTGGGATTCTTTCATTACAATATGCATCAGTTGTGTGTGTGTGTGTGTGATGAGCACGTGGAAGATGTACAACCTGACGAAGATGATCTCCGCCTCAATGAGTTGCTTGACCTCATGAAAACCCTGACTGAGAGAATAAGGAACCTTGGATAACAACTAACAAATAAGCTAAGGTGGACTAAGAAGTGGAGACTGAATGATGCTAACATTTTGGACGAGGTCAGTGAGATCAGGGAGGAGAGTACCCCCACCCCATTTCGTCTGCTGCAGCCAACTTCAGTGACTTTGGTATGGCGACAGAGGAGGAGGACTCTGCCAGGCCTCAACGAGAGATGCAAGGTAGGACCTTATAACTTTAGATAAGAGTCAACTTCACAGTGTAAGAAAACTAATGGACTTACTATGGGTACATTTAATGAATGTGCAAGGAACAGGTAATAAAGATGTGAGATGATGAATATGTTTTTGAGTTTGTTGTTGAGTGGCTTTACATACATTGACGGTGGTGAAATGCCATACACTTACTATCCCGACAAATGTTTTTATCTTGTGCGACCAAGGATGTCGTGGTAACGAGGGTCAGCTGTATTCTTTATATATTTTAAAGTTTAAAGAGTTTTAACCTGTTTTTGAATTCATTAAAATTGTTTACAAAATTATAAAAAATGACTTAGCTTTCGGTTTATATTCGTCAATGTTAAGGAATTTTATATAGGAATAGTATTTTAAACCTCATTTCACATGTTATCATTCAATAATTTGATTGCAAGATACTATTACTTTATTAGAAAAATTATTTTACCAATTGTTACATAGAGAGTAGACCAAATAGTAATTAGTCACAATGTACCTCTAATTTCAAATAAATTTAGTTATTATATTAAGATATCATGATTCTGATCCTTTTCGCCTCCAGTTTATGATTAGGGTTATGCGCGTTGTTTCTCCAACTAATGTCTATGACAATAGTACTCTGAAGATCATGATTCTGATCCTTTTCGCCTCCAGTTTATAACTAGGATTATGCGCGTTGTTTCTCCAACTAATGTCTATGACAATAGTACTCTGAACACACACAAAAAAGACAAAATATATATTACATATTTGAGATCAGAAACTGTAAAGTTCATATTTATCAGGTTGCTTTTCAACTAATTAGTAGAGTAAATTTGGCCTAGGGATTTGCCACAAAACATAGTGATCCATACTTGCCCTCTGTTACAAAATATATCGAAATGATTTACAATTTCTTTTAGGACAACTGTTTTCACAACTTTTTTTTTTAATTACGTGTATTATACTCAGATATTCCTGATTAGCATTTTCTTAAAATTTGTTAAAAACAACAGCTTATATATATATATGTATATATATAGAGATACAGAAAGAGAAAGAAAAATTATATTGTATACTGTTATTTTTTCCTTAATAGCAAACCCTATTCAATTTAGATAATTCGTCTGTATTTTATGAAAAGGGTCCCTTGATTTACTACCTAGAAACATTAAAACAGTCTGTTGACGTTGGTAAGAAATTACAACCTTCTCACCTGAGGTCATGTAAGATAATACTTGACTGGCTTTTCTAACATAATGAATGGCATTGGACAGGGTGAAGAATGCCTTCTGCAATGCATTTCTTCATACATTCTGGACCTCGCTTGCGAAAGTCCGCCTCTACACTCCAAGGTTGAGCAACGCTAGGAAAGCCTTGATCATTAATGTTGGATTTATAAGGGACGTTGTAATGTTTCAGGGGAAGGACCGGTTCTTGCTGAGTGATTTCCCAAACGTATTGCGTTTTGGTTGGAAACAAAGGAAACAACTGACGGAAAAACTCATTCACTAATTCCATCACCAGGTGGGTATCATCCTTTCTCGATGGATTTGCAACTGAAATAGTATTTCAAATATAATAAAAAAACTTGAACATGGAAGTGTGATATCCATTGATCCGAACTCTAAAGAAATCGCCACTATAGGTGTTAAAAATTTTAAATTCCAAGATACTTGTCAAATATTAGTTTGATACTGGAATAAGAACATGAACTATTAAATCATAAAACTTAAAAAAAAATATTAATGCTAAGCCGTAACAAAAGCATATTCAATCAGATATTACAGTTTGTAATGATGTTTGTAATGAACTTTATATTTTAATTTACTTATTTTTTCCAAAGCAAACTTTACTATGGACTCGGTTTTTCATTTATTTACAATAGTACTACACTCAATCAGGAAAATCCAAAATTACATCTAATTATAGTGAAATAAAACACAGTTACATATTTTTCATGTTCAATATGTTAGAAAATCAAGGATACACGCTACTCAGGTATTACGGAAATAAGGAATTCATATGTGAGGTTCAGGTAGCTTTTGACATCTTAAATATAAATCAGACGAAGAGTGAAAATGCATAATATTCTATTTTTTCGTTAACTTGTTGCTGCTTTGTTATTCTAACAGCTTGTGAGTGAAAATAAAGAAGAATGAATAACAATATATCAATCATATTTATATCTGAGGAGCCATATCAACTGTACATCAATATGATATCATTCTATAGAAGCGACTATGTGTGGCGTTCAATGTTACCATACCTTTCCAAATGCTACATAAGATCTAATTTAATAAATGCATGCCTAAAACTTTATCAATATATGCATGCTGAAATATTACGGCATGTTTTCTTGGATATATGTTTTAAGAAAAAGTTTTGCTGTTGCCTACTGTCACATCTGTATTCTATACATCAAAGGTTAAATCGTCTTGAGGACATCCAGGGAGCTTCAAGCCCGACAGATGTATATTCTGATACTGAACATATAAAATTAGTATCTCCAAGTTAAAGTATAAAATAAAACATTGTGAGATAAGATCTTGGAGAATTGTCAATGTTTGATTAATTCTTTTTAAGAACGGTAGCAGCTTCCTTTCAGGGAACTTTCAGGGATCTTATAATTTGATCCACTTTACTACCCACGTCACCAACCTTTGTCCTCCATGATTATTGGGACTTATAATTGGATCCACTTTACTACCCACGTCACCAACCTTTGTCCTCCATGATTATTGGGACTTATAATTGGATCCACTTTACTACCCACGTCACAATCCTTTGTACTCCATGAATATTTTACAAATGTACCCAATTCATAATTTTAATAAAAACACCATTTGGATAATCAAGAGTGAAAAAAACATGTATGAATTCTAGTTTATATTATCTATATGATTATTGTTATAGTATCTATATGGTTATTGTTATAATATCTATATGGTTATTATTATAGTATCTATATGGTTATTATCATAGTATCTATATGGTTATTGTTATAATATCTATATGGTTATTATTATAATATCTATCTAATTATTGTCATAGTATCTATACGGTTATTGTTATAGTATCTATGTAATTATTGTCATAGTATGTATATGGTTATTGTTATAGGATCTATTTAAAAATTGTCATATTATTTATATGGTTATTATTATAGGATCTATGTAAATATTGTCATAGTATCTATATGGTTATTGTTGTAATATCTATGTAATTATTGTCATAGTATCTATATGGTTATTGTTATAACATCTATATATTTATTATTATAATATCTATATGGTTATTATAGTATCTATATGATTATTGTTGTAATATCTATATGGTTATTGTTATAATATCTATATGGGTGTTGTTATAATATCTATATGGTTAGTATTATACCATCTATATGGTTAATTTTATAGTATCTATGTAATTATTGTCATAGTATCTATATGATTATTGTTGTAATATCTATAAGGTTTTTGTTATAATATGGATATTGTTATACTATCTATATGGTTAGTATTATACTATCTATATGGTTAGTATTATAGTATCTATGTAATTATTGTCATAGTATCTATATGGCTATTGTTATAGGATCTATGCAATTATTGTCATAGTATCTATATGGTTATTATTATAGTATCTACATGGTTATTGTTATAGTATCTATCTAATTATTGGCATAGTATCAATATGATTTACGTTATAGTATCTATATGGTTATTGTTATAGTATCTATATGGTTATTGTTATAATATCTATATGGTTATTGGTATAATATCTATATGGTTAATATTATACTATCTATATAGTTAGTATTATACTATCTATATGGTTAGTATTATACTATCTATATGGTTAGTATTATACTATCTATATGGTTAGTATTATACTATCTATATGGTTAGTATTATAGTATCTATATAATTATTGTCATAGTATCTATATAGCTATTGTTGTAGGATCTATGTAATTATTGTCATAGTATCTATATGGTTATTGTTATAATATCTATGTGGTTAATATAGCATTTTTATTGTAATTATTATAATATCTATGTGGTTTTTGTTATAATATCTATGTGGTTATTGTTATAGTATGTATATGGTTATTATCATAGTATCTATGTGGTTATTGTTATAATATCTATGTGGTTATTGTTATAATATCTGTATGGTTATTATTATAGTATCTATAATAATATTGTTATAGTATCTATATGGATATTGTCATAGTATCTATATGGTTATTATTATAGTATCTATATGGTTTTTGTTATAATATCTATATGGTTATTATTATAATAGCTATATGGTAATTATCATACTATATAAATAGTTATTATTATAATATCTATGTGGTTTTTGTTATAATATCTATATGGTTATTATTATAGTATCTATGTAATTATTGTCATAGTATCTATATGGTTATTGTTATAGTACCTATATGGTTATTATTTTAACATCTATATGATTAATATTATGGTATCTATATGATTATTGTTATAATATCTACATGGTTATTGTTATGATATATATATGGTTATTATTATAGTACCTATGTTGTTATTGGCAAAGAATCTATACGGTTATTGTTATACTATCTTTGTAAATATTGTCATAGTATCTATATGGCTATTGTTATAGGATCTATGTAGTTATTGTCATAGTATCTATATGGCTATTGTTATAGTATCTATGTAATTATTGTCATAGTATTTATGTGGTTATTATTATAGGATCTATGTAATTATTGTCATAGTATCTATATGGTTATTGTTATAGTATCTATGTAATTATTTTCATAGTATTTATATGGTTATTGTTATAATATCTATATGGTTATTATTATAGTATCTATGTAATTATTGTCATAGTATCTATATGGTTATTGTTATAATATCTATATGGTTATTATTATAGTATCTATGTAATTATTGTCATAGTATCTATATGTCTATTGTTATAGGATCTATGTAATTATTGTCATAGTTATATATATATATGGTTATTATTATAGTATCTATGCGGTTATTATAGCATTTTTATGGTTATTATTATAATATATATGTGGTTATTGTTATAATATCTATGTGGTTATTGTTATAGTATCTATATGGTTATTGTTATAGTATCTATATGGTTATTGTTATAATATCTATATGGTTATTGTTATAATATCTATATGGTTATTATTACAGTAGCAATATGGTAATTATCATTCTATATAATTGGTTATTATTATAATATCTATGTGGTTATTGTTATAATATCTATATGGTTATTGTTATAATATCTATGTAATTATTGTCATAGTATCTATATGGTTATTATTTTAATATCTATGTGGTTACTTTTATAATATCTATATGGTTGTTGTTATAGTATCTATATCGTTATTATTATAATATCTATGTGGTTATTGTTATAGTATCTATATAGTTATTGTCATAGTATCTATTTGGTTATTGTAATAATATCGATATGGTTATTGTTATGATATCTATATGGTTATTATTATAGTATCTATGTAATTATTGTCAGAGTATCTATACGGTTATTGTTATACTATCTTTGTAAATATTGTCATAGTATCTATATGGCTATTGTTATAGGATCTATGTAGTTATTGTCATAGTATTTACATGGTTATATTTATAGTATCGATATGGTTATTGTTATAATATCTATATGGTTATTATTATAGTATCTATGTAATTATTGTCAGAGTATCTATACGGTTATTGTTATAGTATCTTTGTAAATATTGTCATAGTATCTAGATGGCTATTGTTATAGAATCTATGTAGTTATTGTCATAGTATATATATGGTTATTATTATAGTATCTGTGTAATTATTGTCATAGTATATATATGGTTATA